TTTCAAGAAGACCAATTACTGGTTGAGAAAAAAATGTCGCCAGAGAAACTGGAATAATAACCTCGCTCTGAGCATCAATAATATGAGTTTCAGAAACCTTGACCTCTGATACAAAAGGTGGAACATCACCAACGGCAAAATACACAGTGTTAATTTCTTCAAATGTAACAAAACAACCCTTTACGTCAATAACAGCGCTAAATTGATGAAGAAAATCTCATCCCAACACAACATCATAAGACAAACCAGGAACGACAGATGCATCACATTGATACTCCTTTTTCCCAATAAAAACAGGGAAAGAAACGAAACCACAAACAAAAACTACGTGTCCATTAGCAGTTTTAACACTGTCAATTGTTCCTTTGTGCAGCAGGCTGTGACTTGCGCGCAAAATACTTTCGTAAAAGTTTTCACTAACTACAGAGACCTCTGCGCCCGTGTCTACTAAAAGTTTAACCGGCTGCTTAGCAACAGTACCCCATATTAACACGTTAGTAGGGGAAGACAAAGGAGCTGACATGGCTGACTGCATACAAGTGACCTCAACGACGGCTGAATTCTTAGGGTCACTTTGCGGCTCTGGAGTTGGTTTTGAAACACCAGGTTCCTTGCACCGTTCCGTTTTATCAGAAAGAAAGTTTTGGCTGCTCATTCTTTGCTGTCCCCATTTACCTAATTCATTGTCCATTAGGGGAGGTTGTTCATTTTTAACTGTTTGGGTCTTCAGTTCCCCAGACGTGAAGACCCTTTCCCGTTTAAATTTTGCTGAAAGGATGATTGACTTTGCTGAAAACGAGGCGAACCATATCGTGTTTGCTGATAACGAGATTTGGTCAAATCGGTCGTTTTCAAAATTAGATTGGCGCTGCCAAAAGTTGAATTGACGCTGGTTTTGACTAGGAGCAGGATATTGTTGCCTCAGATTGCAATAACGAGAAACATGCCCGACTCTTTGACAAGAATTGCATATGGGCTGACCATCAGTGGTACGAAGATTGCGACCCCTTGCACCGTTTTGGAATGAGCGCCTGGAAATTTGAGGATTTTTGTGAACTGGCTGTTGGAAACGATTATCGATGGCAGCCAAATTTATGTTTTGCAATTCGTTTTTGCCGTAAGGAACGCTGTTAAAGGCATTCGAAAAGCCATGAAGACCATTTTGAAGAGGCAAACTGGATTGAAACGCAGTGTCGATAGCATGGACTGGTTTTTGTTCCTGTTTTTGAGAGGCATATGTCATCAGCAAATTAACTTGGCCTTCAAGTTCTTTTATTCGTTGCTCCTGCAGGGTGTTACTTAAACTCGGAAAAAGGTTTTCAGATACGAAAGTGGAGGAAACTGTTGATCGGAGCCTGGCTAAATTATCAGCTTCTGCGAACGTTTTAGGCTGGTTCAAAATAACATGACTTTCAATTTCGTTTTTTAGACCATTGATAAATAAGTTCATCATCTCCATGTCCGAAAGAGAAAGACGTTGGCACTTTCTTATCACTTCCGTGTAGACTGATAAAGGCTCGTTTGGTCCTTGCTTACGTGCATAAAGTTCCTGTCTTAAAATGAAGTCCAAATTTTGGGCTCCAAACCTGCCTTTCAGGGCCTCGATCAAAGCTTGATAATCATTGGCAGTTTCATTAGTCAATGTTTGAAACCAGGCCAGTGCAGGGCCACCCAACATTAACGGAAGTGCACCGAGTTTTTTTGCGTTTGACCAACTGTAAAATTTCGAAAGTCTATCGAATTTTGCCAGCCACTCGTTTACATCTTCGTTTGGGAGGCCATTAAACGGGGGTTGTTTAAACAAACTAGAATTTGTGTTACCATCTATTGCAGCCTGCCAGCACTTAATTGCGTTTGTAAATTGTCTACTGTTATCTGGAGTTGCTCAGCCATTTCGAAACGATTACCAATAAAGTTAACTACGTTAAAACACTATTCAGCAAAATTGAGTCAGTCAAAGAAAAGAAATTGCAGCGATTACGCACACACTGGACGTCCAATAAAATCTTGTATATCTCACAAAAAGAGATCTTGCAGATAAAGTCGTTCTATTTAAACCAAACGATGCAACGCAAATAAACAAAGTTCACTCTTTGCAAGGATAATAAACTGAATTTACTCGTTGTAAGGCAAATACACAAAGTTCACTCTTTGTAAGGAATTCTCTCTACTTGAAGAAAAACGGCTTTGATCTTCGAAAAGACGTGAAAACTGATCATCAAACGGCTAAAAATAATTTCTAACGTGCGGAGAATCTTAAAAAAGTTATTGCATTCAAAAAGTTTTCTCGTTCAATCGTCTTCCTCACACGGGGCACCAATGTAAAACCACTTAAAAGGGGGTTTTACAAATGTGAGTTCGTAGGTCGTTCGCAGAAACGTACACGATAAATACGGCAAAAACTGTTATCCAATTCTCTATACACTTCTTCTAATTCATCAGTTCACGGCAAACGACTAAAAATATCTTAAACGGCTAACGGCGACAATGTAACGGCATACACAATTCTGCAAGCTAGCGACAAGGTACACGGAGTTCATCAATCTTACGGCAGGACTGAACCTAACTATAAAGCCACCCCTTATATACCATAAGAATAATACAATTTACAGAAGCTGATGCAATTGCAGCGCAATGATGCAATTGTCATGTGATGTCCTGCAATGAATGGGAACCCTGTGTTCTAACATTTTTCTATACCTGCCTTACGTAATACTGTCAGATCAAGCTGTGCTTATAAGATCTTAAGTAATATGAAGAGCCGGACTCGCAAAAGCTATCGGGTTCCTTTAAAAAAGGTGTAAGGGAGATGCTATTGAAAATGTGCAAATATTTATTTTAATGTACCAAGACTTATTGTTGTGATGTGTTCACGATTCTAAACGCAGCCTAATGCGACCCCTATCTGCTTAACGGTTTATAATCTGCTGCAAAATATTCATCTCCCTTCAGGTAATAGAATAATAAAAGGATTTCAATACAGTCATGTAGAGAATGGTAGAAAAACAATTATCATAGACAAAGGAACCGGAGGGCACAGGGGGCACTACCCTGGGTGCCAGAGCCTACTCTCTGAGGCTCTGGCACCCACGGTAAGGAGGCAGATGCCCTTCCACGTTTTATAAATAGTGGTTTAGTACTTTGCAGGTCACCGATGTACCTCGTTTCTAAATTCGCCCCCCCCCCCTTTGAAATGCTTTCAACGTTTGTGTTCCCAAATTAGATTTGAAGAAAAGCAACTAAATACTGTTGAGGACAGTGGCAAATCTAGCAGTGGTGGTGCTAGAAAATCTCCGGCAGAGGGGCTTGGCTTTCCGACAGGGGGGCTCGGCAATCGGAGTGAAAACATGGAATCCCAGTTGAAAAGGATGCACAAACATTAAGATTATGACAGGACATGAATCTAACAAACAAGAAAGAGCAGCTACTTAGAGCAGGATTATTATTCTTTGTGGGGACTCACTTTTTTAACAAAATGTCCCTACAAGAAAACAGACATATTAAGAAAGCTCTTTGTAGATCTTTGTTCTTGATTTTTCAATATTCCCAACGCTCTATATTTTTCTGGGTAAAAAAAAATACATCATTTAATCATTAAACAGAATAGGGACCAATTTTACTTAGGTAGGTTAGGTCTTTGCCAGCTTGCAGATGCTCGTGTCGCAATAAACAAGTACACGAAAGTTACTACCTGAGGGAACACCATGGTTGCCGCAGAAGGTGAGAAGGTGAGAAACTTTTCGAATTTTGATGTATCTACTTCGCTGGAAAATGTCTCATTGGAGCAATATTTTCTACCTTAACCATGAGGCCCGTAGGCACTGGGGGCAGGGGGGCAATAATTTGCGAAATTGGTGTCTGAATACTTTTTTTCATTGAACGTTGATTTTTGTACAACTACGGTTTTGGGAAATTGGTTTTATGAATGTTGTAACCACAATCATACTTTTCCAACGAACGATTGTGGCATTTTGAATTATCTTTCCGTAGTTTGTGGTCTCTTTATATGACGTCACAGAATGTGATGACGCGTTGGTGCAAGGTGAATTCGATATTTTACAAAACAAACTCTGTCGATACGTCATAGGTCAGGCAGGGACTGCTGGGGCGACTGGGGCAAGCGTGGCTCATCAACTCTGACCTTTGAGCTCTTTGAATCGGAGCAAAGTGCAGAATTGAAAGCAGAAACACAGAACGTCGGTTGTTGCTGCTCAGAATGGTTGTTGCATTTTAGCATGGCAGTCAACATACCTGGGCTTATCGCAGTGATCGTATTTTACATCATAATATTCCTGGTTGGTTTATTAGCTGCTCGAAAAAAGAAATCCGGAGATGAAGCTGAGGGAGGGGAGGGAGAAGAGGTCATGTTGGCCGGAAGAAGTATTGGACTTTTCGTCGGAACATTTACCATGACAGGTAAGTTGCCTTAGATTTAGTAAAGCAATCACAATGTCTTTATCTTTGTAGGACACCAAATATGGCGGCAAGACATCAGCCTTTGAGCGAAGTATGGAGAAGGGGCTTACTGACGATGCCCTGGAGACTGAAAATAGGCGTTTGTTTAGCGCCACCTTGTAAAACTCAGTGTTTCGCGTCACATCTCCTGCTGGACCTTTAATGTGCATTTGCTCTACTTCATTTTTCTGCGACTAATCTGTGCAAACAAGGGAACTGAAATGATAAAGTACCATCTTTATAACCAACAAAGCCAAGTTCAATCAATTTTACATTCCAAAACAACTTTTTGATATCGAGATGGACTTTGCACGTCACGCCAGCCCTCAGAAGAAAAACAAGAAACGGTCCTCTTTGATTTAATCCCTTAACAAAAGGAATGCCAATCGCACGCAATTTTAAACAAATAAATTCAAAATTTTGAGTTGGCAGGTCATCAGCCTGATTAGTTCAGCCATCAATCAGATCAGTTTTTTTATTGGGTCCCAGCTGTGTGTAGAAAAATAATTGGGGATTTTTCCATGCTTTTGCGAGTGAACTGATAGACACAATCGTACAATTTATTCATCCATTGAAATCTGTTTGTGGTTTTCTTGTCAGAAGTTTTAGATAAATAGTAGGTGACAATCTGGCAAGTTTGGAAAACAGGTTTGAAAAATGCATGTTTGATTTTTGCCAAGCATAGATGTGAGCATGAATAGTGATACCAACACCACAGTGGCAGTAGGGGAATGCCCCACTGCCCCCATGAAATGTAAATTTTCTTCACTGTCCTATTGTTTTACCCTTATTATTGGCACTTTGCCTGACCTGTCCATGTATTTATTGCAAAATCCTTGACTGTGAGCACTTTGTGTTTGCTATGTTTATGAGCTGTGAGTGGAACTTTAAAGAATATGACAACAGGGTGCTTTGATCCCAGGCAAAATATTTTGGAAGGGGGGTATTGGCATTGAGAAAAAAAGGGGCTGTCAAAAAAAACAATAGCCAAAGTAGAAATACTCTACTTTTGGGCCCTCTGACCCTACTAGTTCTATACCCAGTATTTTAGTTTGTCTATAACCTAAAAAATTTCTTGAGATACCATTGAGAATGATTTCAAGCTGCATGCCAGTACAAGGCAAGTATCCTTAGCCTTACTTGTAACTGCAAGTGATTGCAAATTTTCTAATGTGTGTTGCTTGTATATTATTTTCCCAGCACATTTTAATCCCATTCGCTCCTCAGAAACTCATATTGCTTTTTGATACATATACTCAGAATCATATATGTTTTCAAGCCAGTAAGTTGATACAACCATTTTGTTTTGGTAAAAAGCTGTTTCAGGAAAGACTTGCTGTTTCAGTTTGATAGTAATTTCTTAGAAATGTGCTACAAAAAGGCTGCAATATGCTATAAATAATATGCAAACATTACCACAGGCTGCATTGTATCATTGAAAATGAACTATGCATTGTTTAGAACCAGATGGATTAAGATCTTGTAGATTTTTACAATCAAGAGTTTGAGCCAGTTATTGATTTCTGCAGACTCTTTCAATAATCTTCCCAAATACACCGATTCAACTTTTTGTCTCATTTTTGAAAATTCTTCAATTTTTTACAAACCTTTTTCTCAGATTTAGATTGACAGCAATGTTTTTAATCTACCTGGAAGTTTTCATTATGGTATTGCTCACGATATTGATTTCACAATGGCATAAAGATAAAGATTTTATAAGGAATTTGACCTTGACTGAGAGTTTCCACAAAATGATTTTTGCAGTCAAGTCCCTTACAAGTTTTCAAACTTCATTTCTCTATAAAATCTAAAATGCAAGCGCAAACAATGCAAAGAATTGTAACCAGTCTAAATTTATGACGATTAAACTAAATCTGAGCTTAAAAAGTCATATAATAAAATTTGAAGAAATTCACAAATCGAGGCCATAAGTCGAAGTGGTTATGTGTTTATTGCAAAGGCTTTAAAATAAATTCAAAATAGGTAAGCTGCAGAGAAAGAAAGATTGTGGTTTTTAATCTCAAAACCTTAAATCTTTTACCCAAGAACCACTCCACCTTTTACTTAGTGTTTAATTGGGTCTACTCTCAAAGCAGGGGTGAATTAAGGGTTTGGGATGCCCTAAGCATTCACTGATCTTTTTGTGGATGCCCCTAGCCCTCTATTAACACTGTTTACCTGCTGACCAGGTCTACAATGTAGGTTGTAGCAGAACAGAAATGTCTTCATATGCACGCTGTCGTTGTGCTAACCATCATTCACCTGAAATCCCCTAGGGATATAATTGCATATGACATTTTTCTTGCAAAATTTTAGGTTATTAATGATAGATTTAAGCGGGCCTGGCCATTTGAGGAGAGCCATAGCTCTTGCTCCTCTCCAGGCTCTCCTCAAACACTGGAGGGGAGCTAGAGATTGCTCTCCTAAATTGTTCTAACAAGCAAATTTGCTCTCCTTGAAATCAATTTTTCCTTTGTTTCTACTCTTATAGCTCACCTGAATACTACTAGGAGAGCTGTTTACCGCTCCCCTGTTAAATGTCTTACAGCCAGGCCTGTTTAAGCAGACAATGATAACAGAAAAATTGTTGACACAACAACAATAACTTCAATAATTTTGATGACATTTTCTTTGCTAAATTCTTAAAATAACTATTTGAAACAAAAAGCGTGTTATGTCTCAAGACTTGAGCAAGTTTCTACACAAGTATAAACTGAACTTGTTTAATATTTCAACAAAAATGGCACTAGAAGTACAAGAAAATGTTTGCCATGTCATAAGCAGCAGTTTTCATCAACTTCAATAACGAATCCTTCGAAGAGACATTGAGGGCTGAATTCAAAAATTATTAATGGTTAGTGATCGTTAATGTCAAATTGTATCTTGTTCACAGCATTTTATGTTCCTCTTGAAATTCTAGGGCAAAAAGTTGTTGTAGTCTTCTGTGTTTTGGATTTTTTATGAAATTCCATAAAGCCATAAAAAAGGTGTAAACCTTTGGACTCATCTTTTCTTTAATTTCAGCATCATAAAAAGTGCATGACAATAACTTTCCCCCGCAAAGTAGAGATAAATGAACATCAGGAATAAATTTAGTCAAAATAATGGTGAAAATTTTTAGAAAAGTTTGTTTTGTCAAGGAAAATTATGATGAAGAGACCCACAATTAAGTTAATAATAATGAGGGTTTGTTATATCTGGGATTCTCTATTCCAAAGGAATTTATAGCAGTTGATAGGCAATTCAAGCCTGACATGAAAGTACAGTAAGTGGGTGGCAGAACGAGCTGTGGGGCAACTGCATCCCTAACTTTTTCTGACTAAAAACTCATGCACTTTATTGATGAAGATGGAACAGGGGCGGACACTTGGCCAAATATTGGGGGGGGGGCAAGCCTATTGTTTTAATAAAATGACATCACATTTCCCATTGGTTTAGAACAAAAGACCATTGTCCTCTAAAATATTGGGAGGCAGTCGCCCCCCCCCCCTTGCCCCCCCCCAAGTGTCTGTCACTGACATGGAAGTTTTCAATGGCACCCCCCCCTCTCAAAAACAAATTCTTTTCACCAGACAAAATACTGTACAAACTAAGCCAAGCTTGGGCAGCATTAACAAATACAAAAAGTGCACTCATCTTATGTTTCACAAGCTTAGTGTAGCAAAGTCTGTTGAATGTTTCCAATATTCATGATCTGAAAGGCATTTTCTACACTTAATTCTCCCTACCTTACTGTTAACCATCAGTAGAGCCTTTCTTGAAGCATACTGATCTTTTTGGGCTTTTGACACATTTCTGCTTCAAGCGTTTGCCTTCATTGTCTATAGGCAATTTCAACATTTGGTACTTTCTGTTTTCTCTACTGTTATTGTATAATAAAGTTGGTTGTGGGAAAAAGCTGTTTCCTTAAATTCTGTAAGCTTAATGAAATGGTTAGTTTTTAGATTTTTGTAGATGTAATTGAAAGCATTCCAAAGCAGATCTTTGCTGGATGCAGATGTTTCCAATCACTTGCATAAATACCCATAAAATTTTATGTAACTGGGATTTATACGCAAATAGGATGTGGGGGTTGCAAGGGCAAATTAAGGGGTCATGCGTCGGATTAGGTTTTGCAAAAAAGGGGGTAATGTGTCGAAACCCATTTACCTCCTTGTCAGAGGCCATGTGTACTTAGTGAATGATTCAAGCCGTTATAACAATCAGTATTACTGAAATTATTTGCCATTAAAAGAAATGATTCTAATACCTGTACATTAAACTCACTTTTGTTGTGTTTTATTTTCATTAAGATTTTCCAAAATTTCTTGAAAATGTAAATTAAATCATTTGGACCACTACTGTCCAATCTGGAATTGAACAATTTATTAGAAATTCACTTGCAGTGATTGACATGGCTAAAGTGGTTTGAAATTATGAACCTGAGTACCAATGAATTTAGGTGGAGAACTTTAAACTCTATCACCACCCCAGTAAGGTTTTGTTGGTTGTTAGGTGCCAGAACCAGCTGATAATTTGCAAAAAGGGGACAAACAGCAGGCCTGACCATTTGAGCAGAGCCATAGCTCTTGTTCACTTCCAGGCTTCCCTCAAATGCTAGAGGGGGGCTGCTGATGCTCTCCTAAACTGTTCAGAAAACCAAATTGCCCTCTTTAAAAATAATTTTCCCCACATTTCTATTTTTGTGTATTTATGAATAGCTCACCTGGATATTACAAGCAGAGCTGTTTGATAATCCCCTGCTAAAACTCTTATGGCCAGGCCTGAAGCAAAGAGAAAGGAAAGAAACAGATAGTTTTGAAGCAGACTAAGAATTTGAACATATTAAAAAGTGCAGCCATTTCACAAGAAATCGAAAGCCATACAAATGTGATGAAACACCAGTTGCTTATGTATCTAACAAACATACAGAGGCCAAAAGATGATCTGGAGTATTAAGAAAGTGCAGAGAGGAATGAAAT